ATCATCGTAGTCCGAGGTAGGTGACGATCTAGGTGTCCTTCGTGAAGGCCTTCGCGAACGCTGAACATCTGGGTCCTTCGCAGAGGTGGGCTGTGACGTCCTTCGCGCAGGTGGGTTCCTCAGCGATGACTTGGTAGCAGCCGCTACGTTGACGGGTGGTCCCTCTGGGGTGACGTCTACGTTGGAGCCTTCGTGAAGGCTCAGGCTCTGGGCTGGTTGTCTCTCCAGTCCGTAGCGGTCTTCCATCATCTTCATAATCTGAAGAACCAGGTCGTCCGGGACGGTCTGCATCAGGTATGATGATCGGCTGATAATCATACAGGCCCAGTTCTGCGGCGGGAACAATCTCAGCTGAGAAAGTCCTTGTAGACTTCGTCGATTTCCCCTTGGAGGTAGACGCTGCCCTGGGGTGCGGAGTCTGCGTTGAGTTGAAGTAGAAGCCCTCTTAGTCTTCGGCTGCGACGACGGGATGTCTGGGGATGCAGGACACTTCTTGGAGACGGCGGACTGCGTCCCACGCCTCTCCTTCGAGGGTAACTCTAGCGGAGGGAGGGGGTCGTCCGACAGCAGTTGACTGGCGAGGGGTTCAGATGTATCAGCCATGGCTAGACTCTGCTTACGTGACCTATCTGCTGTGCGTCTCAAAACGCAAAGTAAATATTTGTTAAAAGCAGAATTAGACAAATTATTACAGTAACTGCAACGTGAAGAAAATGAACATGGTGCAGTACAGCTAGGGCATATTAAATGCGGATCAGCAGCAGTTAAACGTAACCTGCAAACAGTACAGATTTTCATCAACGTAAACTACTGAACAATCACAGCGTCCCGTGAATAAACAGCAGAAATACGAATAAATATCAATACATAATGTTGAAGGATACTAGCTAAACCTCTATAGATGACCAAAAGAGGTAACTACATAAGAATAATCAAAGGATATAGTGTGTAGGGAGACACCGGCGCTCTCACATCCTGCTCACTGGGCGAAGAAGGAGAGAGTGAAGCATGTGGGAAGAGATGGCGCCTCCTTTCCCGCGGATTTCGGAAAGGGAAGCAACTCTTGGTGAGTACTAATAAGTGATTTTACATTGAAGGGAGCTTCAATTAGGGAGATACAAGTGTTCCACTATGTTCGCAAGGAGAAGAAGACAAGCAAAAGAGCATGAGTCAGGACAAGTATAAAAACCAGCTATCAATTCTTATTCAGAAAATTACATGAGCATTTCTATTGTGACAACCAAGTCAGTACGATCCGTTAGTTTGATCAAACAGCCTGCTTGATCAGCACATGGGTTGCTTTACAGGATCTTCTTAGAGTCAGGATAAGGAAAAATAAAACTGTTTTTAGGCTGTTACTCTGTATCACTAAAATTTACACAATTGCAAATAGCGTATGTCGACATGACCCACATCTGCATAACTGGGCGTTCAGTGGGATTAAGAAATACAGTTTGCTCTACCACCATGTATAGTGTAATAAAACACACTTTCGCCCTGAACTATTATAGTTAAAGTACGAGGACGCTTAAACTTGTGAGTCGAATTGACACATTTTAACCGTCGTAAAACATAAAAGTAATGTTTCCACCAGTGACGTTAACTGCGTGAAGCAACTGCAAACCAAGAAACGGGATGCAACGGAGTAGTTTACTGTAGGAGGCCGTACGAGGCGATGACAACTGACATGCATCGTGATGTCGCTTACATTGTAATGTAATGTAAAATGGTTCGATTACAAGGGGGCACACTAGAATGGTGCAGTGACGGGATAACGTCATTCAATTGTTACGTCATCAAAAAACTATACCTTTATTGTCTGATAATGTATTTTTTTTTCGATTGTTCTAACCGCTAGGCATCTTAGAATGCGTAATAGGGTATCCAGAAAAGCATGTTTACTCGTAAAATCAGGCAAAACTTCGGAAAAATACGAATAGCTGCTGAAAACAATAAATCAGACTATAGATGGCAATTAGGTCGCTCAGCCAGGTATGACGACAGACCGTCGACTCACATGGCATGAAATGCACGTGCAGCCCACAGGCACAAGGGGTCATCTCAAAGATATTTTATGTTTTTTCATGTGTATTGAATATGTCAGACTCTATTGATTATCTTATCTTAGCTAATATCTCAGTTCCCCAGCTCGACCCCAACCACCGTCTGCGACACCCGTCCTGGTTTTGCTTTTGACATGACCCCTCCTACCTGTTTCTTTTTATAGTGATAGTGAGACGCCATGGTTGCTGCATCCTTAATAGTTTCAGTATTAAAGTTATTATTTTTTACGTAGTCTGCTATCGTTTATAATGAAGCTAAGTCCAATTTCAAAATAATCATTTAAAAAGTGTCCTTTGTAATACAATATCATCGCACACTAATTTGCATAAAGCCATGGTGTGTTCTGAACAAGTCGCATTGGACTTAGAAAAACCCGCATTGCTCATTTCTGCACTAAACTCACCTCAGTAAAATCCTTCTTTTACGTTTCCTGTCTCCCTCCCACTGCGACTGTAGTAAGGCCGAACTTAGTTTAACAGATACTTCACACTTTCACATATTAACTATCATATATTTATCCAATGTCCACCATCACATATTTATCCAATGCCCACTATCACATATGTATCCCATGACCACCATCACATATTTATCTAATGCCCACCATCACATGTATATCTCATGCCCACTATCACATATTTATCCAACGCCCACTATCACATGTATTATAAATCCAATGCCCACTATCACTGTTTATCCAATGTCCACCATCACATATTTATCCAATGCCTACTATCACATATGTATCCCATGCCCACTATCACATATTTATCCAATGTCCACCATCACAGATTTATCCCATGCCCACTATCACAGATTTATCCAATGCCCACTATCACATATTTATCCAATGCCTACTATCACATATGTATCCCATGCCCACTATCACATATTTATCCAATGTCCACTATCACAGATTTATCCAATGCCTACTATCACATATTTATCCCATGCCCACTATCACAGATTTATCCAATGCCCACTATCACATATTTATCCAATGCCACCATCACATATTTATCCAATGCCCACTATCACAGATTTATCCAATGCCCACTATCACAGATTTATCTAATGCCCACTATCACATATTTATCCAATGTCCACCATCACATATTTATCCAATGCCCACTATCACATATGTATCCCATGCCCCCCATCAAATGTATATCCAATGCCCACTATCACATATGTATCCCTGGATAATGCCCACTATCACATATTTATTCAATGAGTGGGACACCCTCGTCATGCAGTAAACTAAATACAATGTATGGTGTAGTGACATGTCATGTGCATGCTGATCTTTTCTGAAGAAATCAGCCAGACTGGAGCATTTTTTTAACAAGTATTTGGCAAAAATGTAGTGTTTGTAGAACTATCTGGCCCATGCAGCTGTACTACGCACTGGGTTCCTGTCCGTGTTTTATGTTTCACAACCCTGATGAATGGTTACATACTTCAGAGTACATGTATGTCCAATACAAACAACACAGTATATTACTAACAGCTAAACATAGAAACACTCTCTTTTTAATAACCCTGATCAACATTTACAAATTTAAAAACAACTTTCTAAAAATGTTTAAAAATACATAGCTGCAAATGTTGCATATTCCTAATTATAAATAATAGATAATAACAGGTAAACACTGGTGAAAGACTATTATCCACTGACTCTGTGTTGCTGCAGCGTGTCCTGTGTTGTAGTTCAAGCTTTACAGCAGCAGTGTCTCAGCCCCACCATCACTCTTTCACTCATCTTGTCAACATACACAATTATTCAAACAGTCAGTCAGATCTTGTTGACATACACATTTATTCAAATGGTAACTGTCAGATCTTGTTGACATACACATTTATTCAAACAGTCACAGACAGATATTGTCAACATACACATTTATTCAAATGGTCACAGTCAGATCTTGTCAATACACACATTTATTCAACTGACTGACTGACTGAGTTTGGTTTTACACCGCTTTTAGCAATATTCCAGCCACATCACGGCGGGGGACACCAGAAATGGGTTTCACACATTGTACCCATGTGGGGATTCGAACCCGGGTCTTCATCGTGACGAGCCAACGCTTTAACCATTAGGCTACCCCACCGCCCCACATTTATTCAAACAGTCACAGACTGATGTCAATACATATTTATTCAAATGGTCAGTCAGATCTTGTCAATACACACATTTATTCAAACAGTCATAGACTGATATTGTCAACATACATATTTATTCAAATGGTCACAGTCAGTTCTTGTCGACATACACATTTATTTAAACAGTCACAGACAGATATTGTCAACATACATATTTATTCAAATGGTTACTGTCAGATCTTGTCGACACACACATTTATTCAAACAGTCACAGACAGATATTGTCTACATACATATTTATTCAAATGGTAACTGTCAGATCTTGTCGACATACACATTTATTCAAACAGTCACAGTCAGGCCTTGTCAACATATGTACAATAGCTCCTGATATTTTTAAATACACAAGTAATCAGCATTTTTGTCAGATTTTGCTTTCATTCAGTGCTGTATTGAATGTAGTAGTACTGGAAGAGGTTTCTGATGCTCCAGTTAGGTCAGACTCATACAAGATACTGTAGGTTTATCAAACAAAAGAATTTAGGGATCATGAATATGTTTTCATATATTTTTTGTAATGTAGTCCAAGCACATTATTTGATAGGTATTAATAATCCCTAGCAGTTGTTAAAATACACTGAAATACATCCATCATGTAGAATTCCAATTTCAACTGCTTGGTGTTTTTTCCAGATCAATCAATTCTGGATGAACACACACAAACCAACCATGCTGATGTTTATACATGTTACAAGGTTTGTTTGGTAAGTTTGTTATGGTGGAGTTGGCGACAAGTAACTCTGTGGGTTCTGTTTGGGCTTGCTACTCACATGGCTTCAGGCAATGGTAGGACAGCTGCTTTACCACACAGGGAACGTCCCTCTGGAACACAAAACAGTAGAGTGAAGGCGCATCTTACTTCCTGGAGCAACTAGGGGCGGAGGGGTAGCCTTATGGTTCAAGTGTCCGCACATCATGCTAAAGACAAGGTTCAATTCCCCACATGGGTACAAGATGTGTGAAGCCAATTTCTGGTGATATTGCTGGAATACTGCTAAAAGCGGTGTAAAACCATACTCACTCACTCTTTTGGCATCTGCTGTACTTTGGTGATACAATTTGGCGGTACAATACAATAATGTACACCTGTCCTTGAACACAATGGTAAGACTCACACTAAGTCTCTGAATATATGTAATTTTGATAGAAACAAACAATTCCTTTTAAACTGAAAAGGAGTCCCAGAGAGAATGGAAACCTGAGGAAATCTAGAATTGTGTCATTTAGAGCTCTAAAATTGCAGAATGGGCTGAGCAGAAGGGAAAATAATGTGCTACCATTGGAATTACCATGTCAGTGCCAGTTAACATGTGTTATCACACCTACCATACTTTCCCGCTGTGATATTTCATGATTATACAAGCAGAAATGCCTGAGTAATATGTGCACAGAGCATTTTCTAAGCTGGATCAAAATTCAGGCATTTTTAAGAGACAAAATTGCTGAGTCGTATCCTTCATGCAGAGTTTCAGCTTTGTAGGCCTTATAATTCAGAGATGTCAAAAATGCATAGAATGTATGAAGATCTAAGGTCATAGCTTGATGACAATATCATAGTATAAAGAAGAAATAGGATCATATGCTATAATGCATACTACATAGTTTCTGCATATCAAAATGCCTAAGAATGGGCATTTGCTATTTCAATATGGCCACCTTGGCAGACATGTTTAAAGCTGCACTATTAAATGAGCACTGTTTAGAAACACGATAGCTGAGGCCATTCATACACATTTCATCTCCATAGGCTTGTCATTTCACAAAAATTATCAGATATGTAATTTTTAAAAATAAGATTATATTTTTGGGTCACAGTAGCCATTTTAATACACTCAATCAATTCTTAGTCTATGATATATGTACAATTCAAATTGTATAGATAAAGCACTACACTTTGTATGTGGAATATGAAAATAGATTATGCTGTCCTATTATCATCATTTTTCTTCAACATCAATGCAGTTTTGTACACATATTCCTCCATATATTGAAGTAAGAAGTTTGTGCTCTTTCCATCAGTAGGGTAGCAGTGTGTGAATTAGTTGATTAATAAATAAAATTTTAAAAATTAATAATTATAAATTTGTAAAAAAAGATTGTATTGTACAACAGCACACTGGGACTTTGAGACACAAAAGTTTAAAGAAAAAACCCTAAACAGCAAATTAGCTAGACTGATATTCACGCAACATTGTGATTAAACTTCTCACTCTATGACATTGCAGTCTACATTCTCTCATAGATTCTCTCAGTCTTGTGATCTTAGCAGCTTCACTTGTTCAATCAGCTTGTCTTGGACACCAGTAACAACCAAAATAGATCAAAGCATTTTCAAACCAATGTAAAAACGGTAAATATATGTCCATAATAGCTTCAGTTTGCCTTTTGTAAACATATAGTTATTGTTTCACCACAGAGCTATTGCTGACTGACAAGCACAAATCAGTGTTGTTATTCAGTCTGGACAGTGCTGTCATATGGAGTAATGAAGCTCTGTTAGTTAACTGAAGACTTTGAAATTAAGATTCTTAAATTCACTGAGGTACAACAAAAAAAGCAATGAATGTGATGTATTTTAGACACACGTGTACATGAGTGAGTGAGTGAGTTTAGGTTTCACACTCAGCAATATTCCAGCTATATGACGGCGGTCTAAATAATAGAGTCTAGACCAGACAATCCAGTGATCAGCAGCATGAGCATCGATCTGTGCAATTGGGAACCGTTAACATGTGCTTTAACCAAGTCAGCCAGCCCGACCACCCTATCCTGTTAGTCGCCTCTTACGACAAGCATGGGTTACTGAAGGCCAATATTCTTACCCGGACCTTCATGGGTAAAATGTACATGACCTACTGTCCTTACTACAACATGTCAAATCAACATGTCCAAAATTATGGCAGCCATTCTCGAAATGACCAGTATCAGGTCAACAAAAAGAAAATTTCAGCTTCTTTCTGGCTGTGCTAAATGTGACAATGATGCCTGGCCAGACAAAACGGTATACAAAAGTCAGTTGAGAAAAGAGAGTTCAACTGACTGACTGACTGAGTTTAGTTTTACGCCGCTTTTAGCAATATTCCAGCAATATCACGGCGGGGGACACCAGAAATGGGCTTCACACATGGTGCCCATGTGGGGAATCGAGTGGTTAAAGTGTTTACTCCTCACGCCGAAGACCCGGGATCGATTCCCCACATGGGTACAATGTGTGAAGCCCATTTCTGGTGTTCCCCGCCGTGATATTGCTGGAATATTGCTAAAAGCGGCATAAAACTAAACTCACTCACACTAGCTATATGAAGTGAAACATTTAACCGTCTTGCATGGAAAGTGTGGTCTGGTTTGAATTGTTCCACATATCATTTAGCTGTCCAAAGTGTGACTTGATGTATGACAGATGAAATGGGTCAAACGCACAATATGAGGGAATATATTAGCATGGTAAGAGCATGTTGAAAGAGCAATGTCAAATTCAAATCAAACATAAAATGTGACAAACGTGAGGCATATAACTGATTAAAAACTAAGACGTACCAAATTTTATTCAATTGTTAATGAAAGTGGCTGAGTAATTGGCACAGTTAGGTATAAATTCTTGATAAACTTAGTTATATTATGCTTGGTAGATTTAACAACCTTGAGAAGTATCTGAGGAGATCTTGTACCTAAATGGGACAAGCGGAACACCATGGCTGCCATATTTAGTTCATGTGAACTAAAGTACTGTCAGTTTTTAGGCTGTTACTCTGTATCCCTAAAATTTACACAACTACAAATATCACATGTTGAAATAACCCACATTGGCCTATTTGGGCATTGGATGTGTATATAGATATCCAGAAAAGCATGTTTACTCGTAAAATCGGGCAAAATACGAATAGCTGCTGAAAACAATAGATCAGACTATAGATGGCAATTAGGTCACTGAGCCAGGTATGACGATGGACTGTCAACTCACCTCACATGAAATGCATGTGCTGCCCACAGGCACAAAGGGTCATCTAAAAACTATTTTATGCTTTTTCATGTGTGTTGAATATGTCTCATCTCTTGATTAACATCTTACGTGTCTTTCTTTCATAAGGTTTATGTTGATACCCATAGAAAAGCTTAAATCAGCTATCGTATTAAATGTCTCAAAATATATAGGTGACATGACCAAGATCGACAGGACCAAATATTATTTGTAAATTGTTATGACATGCAGTTTACTTCTGCAGTTTAATTCCCCTAAAGGATTATCTAATCTTAGCTGATATCTCTATCCCCCAGCCCGACCCCAACCAATGTCTGTGATACCCATCCTGGTGTTGCTTTTTGAGGTGACCCCTCCTACCTGTTTCTTTTTATAGTGATAGTGAGACTCCATGGTAGCTACATCCTTAATAGTTTCAGTATTAAAGTTATTATTTTTTACGTCAGCTATCGTTTATAATGAAGCTAAGTTTAATTTCAAAATGGGCATCTAAAAAGTGTCCTTGGTAATACAATATACACACAAATTGCATAAAGCCATGGTCTGTTCTAAATAAGTCGCTTTGGATTTAAAAAAACCCTGCATTGCTCGTTTTGTACTAATCTCTTCTCAGTCCCAGATAGTATTAGAACGTTGGCCCAATGTTGGCAATATTGGCAATATTGGCAAAACCATTGTCAACTTTGGGCCAACATCTGACTCTGAATGCTATCTGGGGTAAAGTCCTTCTTTTACGTTTCCGATCTCCCTACCACTGAGACTGTAGTTAGGCCGAACTTAGTTTAACATATTTTTTCACATTTTCACATATTAACTACCTAAATTGTAGGTATAAATTTGAAAAGAAAAGAGTGTTTTTTTCTATTTCCGACAGTACCTAATGAGTGAATGTTGTTGTTTGCTGAGTCAGCAATATCTATGCTAAACCAGGACATCTTGTATCATGCCTGTGGCAGGGAGTCGTGTACTGCATGAGCAATGAGCAAGTATAACTTGTCTCTCATACCCCATGTGTACTGATACACCAAGCTGACATATGATAGACTCATAATACAGATCGTACACGAGTCTCTCATACCATATGTGTACTGATACACCAAGCTGACATATGATAGACACATAATACAGCTCATACATATCTCTCATACCCCATGTGTACTGATACACCAAGCTGACATATAATAGACACATAATACAGCTCACACTTGTCTCTCATACCCCATGTGTACTGATACACCAAGCTGACATATGATAGACACATAATACAGCTCATACATATCTCTCATACCCCATGTGTACTGATACACCAAGCTGACATATGATAGACACATAATACAGCTCATACATATCTCTCATACCCCATGTGTACTGATACACCAAGCTGACATATGATAGACACATAATACAGCTCATACATGTCTCTCATACCATATGTGTACTGATACACCAAGCTGACATATGATAGACACATAATACAGCTCATACATGTCTCTCATACCCCAAGTGTACTGATACACCAAGCTGACATATGATAGACTCATAATACAGCTCACACTTGTCTCTCATACCCCATGTGTACTGATACACCAAGCTGACACATGATAGACACATAATACAGCTCATACATGTCTCTCATACCCCATGTGTACTGATACACCAAGCTGACATATGATAGACACATAATACAGCTCACACTTGTCTCTCATACCCCATGTGTACTGATACACCAAGCTGACACATGATAGACACATAATACAGCTCATACATATCTCTCATACCCTATGTGTACTGATACACAAAGCTGACATATGATAGACACATAATACAGCTCATACATGTCTCT